CCAGTCCTGTGAGGTGGAGAACTGATAGGTCGGCTTAGCCTCTCCCAGACTTGTTTTCTGTCCTGCAAAGATGGGGCTCGCTAGGCGTCCCCCCGGTAGAGGTGCTGTGGGGTGTAAATGACGCACGTGGGCAGCCAGAGCACAGCTGCTCGTTCCTCGTAAGTGCAGGATAGCATAGCTTTTGCGGTGACGGCTTTATGACCGCACCTTGTAGACTCTCAGTGCTTGAAAGTGATGCCTTGTGGTTTGGAGATGGGATTCTCAATTCTGTAAATACCCAAGGATTGTGTTATTGGGCCCTGCTGATTTGAATCTATTCTTTAGAAAGTACATATTGTAGATATAGTTTTCAAGCATGCATGCTTTTTCTTTTATTATTTATAGTTCTACCCTCTCATCTCTTGGTGTTATTTTTCATGGAATCCAGGAAACAGTCCTAAGCTACCTGTCTCTTCACAATTCTCCGTGATGGCTTTCTTCCCTGACTAGAAGAGAGTCTTGCATAGGAAATTTTCTTTGTTCCCCTTTTCTTGGAGACACTGTGTCTGTCTGCCCATCTCTCACCAGTCCATTTATCCATTTCTCTACCCACTCATTCTTCTGACTTGTTCCAAGAAACACTTCAGGCAGATTACAGAAGAACAGATACTAAATAAACAGGTGAGAAAATGGGGCCAAGTTCAGACAGTGAGGCTAGGAGGTGAGCCTGTGTGAGTTTTGCGGGCGTGAGACACACACCTCTGCCCTGTGACTTATAAGATCGACGGCAAGAGTGTGCCTGAGGCTCCCAGCAGACACAGGGAAACAGGGTTTGTGGGAGATGCTCACTGGCTGTGAAATAAATAAGTGGCTTAGGAGAAGCCCGATCTTTCCAGCTACTAAGGCTTAGGAGAATATTTTCGGTGTCTTCCAAAATCAGAGTATTTCATCGTTTCTTTTGTCAGAGTTCTATGTATAGTTGTCAGAGTTCTATGTATAGTTGGTTACATTCTATATCTGGAAATTTCTCCAAAACTGCTTCCCACGTGAGTCCCATTGCTCAGAAATGGGGTGGTTCTGCTCATTTACAGGTGTTGGCCAGAAACAGAAAATGACAGCCTCAAAGGAGCCTGGGATTTGTCAGTTTTGTATTGTCAGTGCTGTAGATTTCAGAGAATGCTTTCACAGTTTCTCTCCATCTGAGGCGGCAGCATGCTCTCTCACCAGCATCAGGAGCTCAGGGCCACGGGATGGTGGGTGCTGACTGCACTGCCGTCAAGACAGCTATGATATTCACTGCAGGCGTGGTGCTTTTACGTAGTGCATTTCATGTTCTTTAATAGAAGTTTTCAACAGGGAGTTTATTAACTGAGTTAATCAACATTTAATATATATGATGCTTTGTTGAAGACAGTTTTAGGCAGAATATAATCTGTGAAGACTTTAAAAACGGTTTCATTACTGTAATTTCAGTAGGGAAGATACACAGTTTATCTTATTTATGCCTCTCTTTCAAAGTAACAAAGAAACAACACAGAAAAAGCAGATGATGATTTCTGTTCTTCCTCTCGGCTTGCAGATGCCCTCACCTCCAGTGGCATCCATCCAGACACCAGCACTGACACTGGCCGTGCTCAGTACTGCCTCAGCCCTGAAAACACAAGTGACAAATAGAAGGGGGCCATACACTGTTACAGCAGGTGCTCTCATTTTGTGGGTCCTTATGTAACTGCTTGGTGTTATTCAGGATCACCCGTTCTACATTGTTTTACGCTGCTGCGGTGTGTCCTAGTTATTTGTTTCTGTAAGTACTCGTGTATTTTCTCCAATGTGCTGTACCACACATCTAAAAATGTTTTTTTCAGGTGGAAAATAATGTGTACTGAATATAATAAGTCTGAAAAAAAGGGACAAAACATGCTATCCTGGTCCCACTACTCAGAGATAATAATTAACACGTTAACATCTTTTTTCTGTTCTTTTCGTCAGTGTGTATCACCTCTGTCACAAAAACCAGCGAGCACTCTGGGCCTGTTTACTGTGTGGAGACCTCCATTTTCCATTTGGCTTATTACACATTTTTCTACAATATTCTATCTCCCCTGGAATGATTTTTAATGACCAGTATACCATTCTGTCTTGTGGAGGCATCGTCCATTTTACTTTGTACTTAAGTAAACTTTTAAATTCCAAGTATACTTAATGAAATACTGAACAGAGAACTGTGGTTGTACCAAAAAACCCCTACCTCCATTCCCCTTATTTCCTGAGATTAAAAGCTGTTGACAATGTGGTGTATATATTTCACGACGTTTATGCATGTGACATATATATATACAAACATACATACATGCATACGTACATACATACACATATATGAGAAATATATTTATATGTGTGTGCATATATGCTTTATTGAAAAATACGGCCATACTATATGTTTTCTGCCCCTCGCTTTATTCACTCACGGGTATATCATAGACGTCTTCCCACTACAGACTCACCCGTTCCTTTTAGATAGAGTGGAGGGGTCTCCTGATGTGCAGGTGTGGTCTCTTGTGCAAGGACAACTTTGGTGGGAGAATGCTGTGGACAAGGCCCTGGACCATGCCGAATCGCTGGCTCCCTCAGGGCCCAAAGCTTGCCGTGATTTACCACATCATTGTCTTGATGGTGGACACTTAAGATTTCTCCATTTTCCACTGTCAGAAAGGATGTTTGACTGACATCCTTCTTGTACAAACATTCCTGTGATCTTGTATGAGTATTCTTTTAGTTAAGGCTTCTGGAAATTTAGTCCCTGGATGTGACATTTACATTCATCACAGGCTCCTTTCAAGTGACTCTAGAAATTCCTTCTCCAGTGGGGAATGAAAAGATGTAGAATAAGTTATGTAACCAATTCTCTATCGCTGGATATGATTTCACTTCAGCTTTTCTTCCCACCATTGTAAACAGTGCTGTGTAAATGCCCTGATGAGTTCATCTTATTGAACTGATATTTTTCTAGACGGAATGATTCCTAGAAGTGGAGTTGAGTCTGTGTGTTCACACGTTTCTCAGAGTTTACCTATCCATTGACATGTCGTCCTCCAAATGTCACTCACAGTTTGTTCTCTCACAGATGAACACTAGCTAGAATATCTTTTAAAAATATTTGCCAACATGATGAGCAAAAGTGCTTTTACATTGCTTTAGTTTGCAGTTGATGACCAGTGAGGTATTGAGCATTTTTCACTTATTAGCTATCTGACTTTTTAAAAGTGAATGATCCCTTTTGACCTTTGCACACATCTAAGTGAGGGAGCTTCTTGTTGCTTTGTGACAGCTCTTTGTATGTTATGAAAATCAACCCCTTGTCTTCATCAACATATATCACAGAGATTTTCCTTGTCATTTCTTGCCTTTCATTTTGTTCAGTAGGTTTATTTTTGTTGTGGCCCAAAATATTCTTAAGATAGTAAATATCTTCTTTTTGGATTTAATTTTTGGTATTATTCTTAGAAATATTTTCTTATAATGGTATAATTCTCTTCTGTAGGTTATTTTAATCTCTGAGATGGAGATGAAAATAGTACTTGTTAAAGTGAGGAGAAGTTGAATTAATATGAGCAAAGGGTTGTATTTGCTGTTATTAGTACTTTCTGAAATTTACATCACTATCTGTAATTTTTCTTGTGGTCACTATGACAGGAATAGAATTTGTTCTTTCCAGGTGATTCTCTGATTGTCCCAGGACAATTATTGAATTCATACTTTGATCTTTGACTTCAAATCCCACGTGTACAAAGTACTTATGTACTCTAGAGTCTCTTTTTGAACTCATGGTTCCTTTCTGTCAATCTTACTTTCTTTCTCCAGTGCTATATCTTACATATTGTGAAAACTTATTTAATATCTGACAGTGTGAATTTTTTTTTATTCTTTTCTTCCATCCCAAATTTTCTTGGCAAGTGTTATGACTTTATTATTCCTGAAGAATTCTAAAATACTTTGTTCAAGTTAAAAAAAAAAACAGATAAGAGTTTTCATGAGATTTTTTAGTAAGTTTTGAATTATCTTTAGGAGAACTTACATCTTTACAAAACTGCTTTCCTCCATGCAATATGTTGATGTCTCTACATTCACACCTCTTTCTTTACCCCTCAGTAGAGTCCTGTAGTTTACCCATGTAGAACATGGGCAATAATTAATTATTATTGTTGATGATTTTTCAATTTTGTGAGTGAGAATTTTTTAGTATTATATTTTTTAACTGTTTAAACTGACACCTAGGATGGCAGATTCAGTTTGTAAATATTCACTTTGTAACTTGTCATTTAAAATTGTAAGTATTAAGTACTTGTTCTTGAATCCTTTCTTTTCTGTTTTTAAAAATTTGTTTCCAAGATTCTCAAAATGGTCATAGCTAAGTAGTACAGGTGGGGAGAAAGATGGAGAGAGGTAGTGTGGCTCATGTACAAACTGTGAGCAGCTTCATGGCTGCTTTTCAGCTGGAGAAGCCACAGAAGAGCCCAGGTTAGACAAGGGATGTCTTTGTATGCACTTGAAAGCCAGCTTTCCTGCCTTTATGGTGAAGCCTGGTGGGAGTGGCATGTAGATGATCAAGGTCCGATGGAGGTAATTGGCTGCACAGAGCACTGCGTCTGTGAGAACTGGAGGCCATCGCCATGGGAAATGCTTTGTGCCAGGAACACTGCAGGGGAGCTGGGGAGCCTGTGTGTTAAGGATTTTTCCAGTCCTGGGATTGGGAAGATCAGACTCTGCATTCAGATTTGAGTTTGAATTCATCCTCTCTTGTTTACTAGTCCTCTGACTTTTGTCAAGTTATATATCCTCTTTGAACTCCTGTTTTCTTGTCTCTCAAAATAGGAGAATTACGTCCTGCTGCTAGAGTGTTTGATCAGGGTAAATGATTTGTGTCTATAAGATGCCACGTACAGTCACAAGCTCAGTGAGAAATGGGCTGTCACCTCTTCTTCTGCAACTCACTGCTTGACAAGACATGGGGGAAAGCCAGTCCCTAATTTTTGTGTGATGTAAGTAGGAACAAAATTAATGTCTTGACTTTCCCAAGCAGTATTCTTACTCCTTTGCTTCACTTACTTCTTTCCTCCTTTCCTTTCACCTTTTCCCTCCTCCACCAAAAGAGCCTGAGACTCTCTTAAAACACTAGATTCATATTTCTTTAAAAATTGTCTCATCCTCATGAAATGACAGTAACTTAAAAAAAAATCTGTACACATCCCAGAATTCATTGTATTTGATTTACACACACACATGCGTGCACACACACACACACACAATCAGGCTACCTCCCACTTGCTGAGGAAGAAAGACCGCTTTTTCTGAGTTTTCATTCACTGAGCGTGAGAGCAAAGTCTTTTATGCAGATTTTCACCTGACTTCATGCATGTTGTTTTTAATTGGATTTCTGCTTTGTGGCCATAGAAATATTCTCCTAATTGAAGACAGTACGTGGAGACATAGACATTCTGCTGAGAAATTGGTGTCATCATATTTGAGTTGGAAAGGACTTAAGACAGCATAGAGTCGTAACTTTTTATGGGTGAGAATCCATGATAGAGTAACTTGGACAAAAACCTGGGTCTTCTACCATTGTGTCCACACGGGTGAAGAGGCAACTGGGTGGGGGATGGCAGGGATCCTTCTTTCTTGGGTTACAGGGTCTTGCTAATTTTCATTGCTCAGCTGCCTTTAGTTTATGTCCATGTGGCCTCTCATGGGAAGGTCACTCTGTCCTGATAGACTGAGTGTCTAATCAGCAAAAAGCTCTGGACCCACTCATATTTCCCAGTTTTTCTGCTGACCTGCTGACACTTTATATAAATGAGACCTAAGAAACTACTGGATATAAAATCCTTATTGTTATCATTTGCCCTCGAGTTCCGAAGGAATGGGGTGCTGTCTCAGGCTGTCTAAGGCTAGATCTGAACAAAGATGGGGTGATAGGCTCTGCTGCTGGACCCTCCACAGTCGAATGGGACTTCCACCTTAGTTTTTAGAATCAGGCAGATGAGTTCAAATCTTGCCTTTACCAGTTATTAGCTTTGTGACCTTGGAGAAGAAACTGTCATTTTTTGTGTCCAATTTTCTTTGTAAATAAGTTCAGTATTTATTTTACGTTTTTTTGTTTTAGAATTGAATGAGCTAATTCACTCATTTATACCTAAAATTCTGACTGCATGGTTCTATGCTGGTGCCTTGGAAGTTGATTACTAAGAGACTCGGCAGTGAGAATGGGGGTTGGGGACCCCTGGATCATAGAGCTTATATTCCAGGATACGCTTGTAAAAGACTGGTTGTGCAGTGGATTTTTAGTAAATATCCATTCCTTTCCTAATCCGCAGTGATTGTGTATATATCTTTATAGTAATATATGAACAATTTTTATTGCAATTTAAATCTCTTTGTAGTATTTAAAATATGTAGCTATAACAAAAATACGTGAAATAAAATGATTTGAGTTTTATTTTCTTTTCAATAAGCAAAACAAAATAAAATAGAAAAGAAAAGAAAAAGTTTTGAAGGAGTTGAAATAATTTTATTTCCATGGAATCAATTCCCTGTGATAGGTATTTTGGTTGTGTTGTTAAACAGCATATAAAATTGATAGGTTGTGACATAATGGAAATGAGGAAACAGAGGAGACATACTACCTCCAATGCAGTCATTTTGTTACCAAGTCCAAACTCGTTCTGCTTGCTGAATGACAGGCCAATAAATTGGGAGATGAAGTGTTGGAGCAAGGAATAGTGACTTTATTTAAAAAGCTGACAGACCCAGAATATGGCATACTGATATCCTGGAGGACCCTCTTCCCCAATCAGAATTCAGTCTCCTATTATTCTAAAAAGGGGCTGGGGTGTGGTTGGTTGTTTCAAAGTTCTTGCTGTACGAATTTTTTGTCCTTGGAATCCTTTCATCTTACAGCTGTCCTTGTGGGTCAAATCATGGTTCCCCTGTAAAACCTCCAGAAAAACAAAGGTTATTCTCTATTTTGCAAGTTGCCATCTCTACATAAGTGCAGAAGAACTAACATCCTTAAAGATCAGAGCCCGGAGAATAGGCTCTCCTTGATATTTCAGGCTAAAGGCAACTTTCTTTCACAAAAGGTGCAGAGATAGCAAGTCTGAGCCTAGAAAACTGGGCACAGTTTTAAAGCCAAA